AATTATTTTTCAAATAAAATGTCCATTACAGCACTGCTTGTTAATTTAGCCACTGAAGTGATATATTAAAAGCTACAATAACAGCTCTGGGCAGAATGACAGTAATTGCCTGTACTGCAATAAAAGCACAAAGTAACCCCAGCATAACACATTATGGAAATCTTACAAACAGTGAATCAGAGTTATTTTGATTTTTGCAGGTTTTACTTCTTTGGATGTTGAACTACTTAATGATTTTTCCACACAGAGAATCTGGTGGGAAAAAAAAAAAAAAATCACACTGTGAAAAGAACAGCGATGATTTGTGACCAACTCCGGCACTTCTGTACCCTACGTTCACATAGCACATTAGCCTTCATTCAGATGAGTAAATGATGGCCCAGATTTCTGTGTAAACAAAAGGAGCTTTTTTTTTTTTTTTAAAGAGTATTCAGGCAGTTGAGACAAGCTAATATTTATTATTAAATAGGCATTTATCAACAGTTCAGTCATCTGAATAACAATTCACCTGGGGGAGAATACCACAGCCAAAATAAGCTTTTGGAGAAAGCAAGTATCTGGCACTATGATAAGTATTTAATTTGCAGGAGATATTTTGACATCAACAAAGAGCAGTGGTACCAGAAGCTGCAAAAACCTCATTAGCCAGGGAAAGTTCTGCTGAAAAAGACAAAATCTTCACAGGACAGCAGGACATCCTGGTGAAATAAAAGTGGCTCTGGGTCTTTCATCATCCAGGTTGTTCCCTGGACCATATGGTCAAAAATGATCAGCTTCTGAACTGACTCCTTATTAAGAGAAGTGCTGGGAGACCTGTTTGCCAGTACACACAACAGGACATTTGTGCTCCCCCTCTAGATACCTCCTTCCAAAAAGTAGGGTTTCAGTATCTTTGAGTTTATTTGTAACAAATGTTTGATTCCTATAATTTCCATACAAATTCAGGCATGTACAAGATACACATTACATCTGAATTTCCTGAATTACTCTTCCAAGTACCAAGGAAATGGAAGAGAAGATTTTTGGTATTCATTTGTTGTAACCACGGAAAACATTTAGGTGCTGGTAAGCAGTGTGATACAAAAGAAGATTTAAGGAAACTTCAAAGAGATTAAAAGACCATTTAATTGATCACAGAGTTGGGAAGATCAATTTTTTTTAAAGGTCATGAAAACACAAAGAAAAGTAGTAATTCTGACTGCTGAGATTACCCATGGTCTATAATGCATTTATCTCTAACAGGACAACTGGGAACATAGATCTGAACTCACGCTTGCAAGAAATGCATGCAGAAGAGATGTGTATTCTCCTGAAAAGCAAAAGCAGGAGAAAAAACATTGTCCTATTACTAATAATAATCACAGAAAAAGACCACAAATAATTCTTGGCCACTCTTCCACGTGAACAATAAATCTATATTATCGCACACCATAATTCTGAGCTCTCCCATCCTAAGATAGGGGCAGGAGACACTATTTGCTCTGCACTTGTACCCTTGCTCCCAAGATGCAGCTTTGCCCATCAGAAAAAGGTCATTTTTCCTCAGTTTTCACAATTCAGACACTGGCACAGAAATACTGACATTTTAAAAAATAAAAGATACTCCTCCTTCCTGAGCTATAACATCCGAATGTTAACCCCAGAAGATTAAAGCTTCCTTAGATCCCATGCATTCCCCTCTTCAAATCAGAGAAGACAGCTGAACACCCTCATTCTGCTTTGTTTCATCTACTCAAGGAGGCAGAGGTCACCCTTCTTCCAAACTGATTAAGACCCTTAAGACAACAGTTTGATCAACTGTTGCCAACAGCAGAGGTCAAGTCAGACATGTCTGGAGCTAGGAACTCTCCCTCTCTTCACTTTTGGCAATAACTTTCTTCTTCATAACTTCTGACTTTACAGTCAGAATACCAAAGCTAATAATCAAAAATCCAATTGTATTCCAGAAAAAAAAGAAAGAAAAAAAAAAAAAACACAATGGAAAGCAAGGCTTTTGTATCAGCCTGCAATGACAGAGAAATGAGAACAGGTGCCCCAATTATTGAATATATTTTAAAAATAAAAATGCACAAAATAAAACGATGTGCATAATCAACTCAGTTTCCAACAGCCTTTCTGTTCTCCCCCACAGTACAACAGTGTTCTAATCCACTCCTTATGTGACAAGAGTTGTAGTTTATTTAAAATAGAACACAATTACTGCAACTAAAATAATTGTTTGAAGTTGATTGTTCTGTTGAACTGCAGGTTCCTATATTTATTATATATAAATCTAATATTCTTTATGAGCAACACATTCACAAGTTTATAGTAATATATTCCCAGTCTGTATTTGCATGCTTTCATGTTAACACCATGCATGACAATGGAGATACAATTACAAACTTGCATGGGATGAAAGAAATAATATTAATACTATTGCCCCCAAATACATGGAAATTATTTTTTTAATTATTCTTATATAATCACCAAACCCAATGTATTAACAAAATAGTGTCCTCATCTTCATAACTGAAAGATTTGCTTGTTTTGGAACGACTGAGCTGAGCCCACACATTTCTGTTTTTAGCACTTATGATTCCAGCAAATATCTTCCAAGTTAAATTTCTAGTTACATTCTGTTCTGAAAGTGTAACAATTGCTAAATCCCAGAGAAAAACTGTTAAGACAGAAAAGAGGCTGTTGAACTAAAACAAAGGCTACTCTCTAGTACCTTTGTGTAGAAATTAAGCCTTTCTTTGCAGTAGTCGTCAACATCACCCTACATTATTTCCTGAGCAACACAGGGACATTGTCCCTACCCATCTTTCATGAGCCTTCTTCTATTGCAGTGGTCTCCTAGTCACTCATACAAGCCAAGCCTCCAAGCCTAATTTGCAGTGCTGACAGTCCTTCCAGATCAAGTGGCAGAATTTAGATGCCTAGCAATATATGGCAGGATGCTACCAGAACACCAAATTTTATTTAAGGTATGTGTGATACTTAATCAAGAGTAAAGAGTCTGTTTGCCTACAGTACCCCACTACCAATAATTGCTGTATTTTACAGAATTTATCCCCTCAAGAACTCCATTTCAGCATCTCACTTTTCTCACATGGGCATCAGGAGAGCTTTCGAAAGGTCTGCAGTGCCTCTCTGCAAACCTTGACTCTCACCTACGTGTGCAGATGGTCATTTACTGAAGCCAATCATGGACATCTCATTAGTCATTTAGATGAAACTGTAATGCTTACTGAAGGACTGGATGCACTCCTCTTTGCCCTTCTGCAGTAATGAAAAGCAGTGAAGTTTCCAAACCTTTCCACGTTGACTATTCAATAAAAAGAGATTGCTTAGCATCTGTCAGATCTCTGAATTACATGCAACTTTCAAAAAAGAAAAGAAAAAAATATATCAATTTTCTCTATAAATTTTCTTAATTATTAGCCTTTGAAATACCAGTGATAATTGCGAGGTACCTAAAGGGAATTGATTTTTTTCCTAAAGTCAGCCCAGCTGGTCCTGAAAAGGACTAGATGACAAGGTTTCTTTCAAGCTAACACAAGGTACTGAGAAGAGCTAACCTAGAAATGTATATTATTTATTTATTGTCACAATATCATCACCAAGTCCACAAGCAGTAATTCACAACACTTTCAAAAAATCATAAGGGGACATTAGAGACACTAAAGAAAGTAACAGGAAATTTAGGAATTGGAAATTGGTGTCATGGATCAGCATTAGAAAACAAGTAAAGAGCTCTAACAATAATGCTCAGTGCTCTGTCATCTGAAAAGGTACATTCTACTTTAAAGACTTTTAAAGAAACTGCATTCCTATTCACTGAGGTTAGGAGAAATTAAGACATTATTATCAAATTTCAAAGACATTCCAAGTAATATCTTCCACTGCCATCTCTATCCTGAAGTACACTGGAAGGAATACCCACTTTCCAGCAACAGGAGAGAAGAGAGAGACGAAACCTTATCTACAACCTGCTGGCATAGCCCCCTGTATCTCTATAGACTCCTCATCCAAAATATAAAAAGTATAACATCAGATTCATATGGGTTTTGTTTCATGATCTTCTTACATCCCCTGTTTCAGGAGTAAAACCATCAGAAGATATTGAAAGGATTATTCGGATGCTTTTATTGCTCCAGCTGAAACCCCAGCTTTCTAATTCATGGTAACATTTGACAGCTGCATTAATGTATGTTTTCAGAGAATTGAAGCAAAATGTCATAATTTGTTTGAAATTCAGTATTAAACCTAAAGATTAAAAATATATATTTTCAATCTAAATGTTTTGTGACAGTTTCTCCTAAGTATATAATTTATGAAAAGAAAACAGAATAAATGTCAAAAGACAAGCAGCACTGAAAATGAAAAATGAGAACAATATTTTCACTTTTTTTTTTTTTTTTTTTTTAAATATTGTGATTTTCATTAATGTCTCTCCAGAGACTGCAGTTGAATAAATTGGCTCTTCCTAACAGGAAAGAAGAAAATGAATGTAAAAAAAGAAAAAAAAAAATGTTACAAGCACAAATTAATTTTTAGAAACGATGGCAAAAAAATGTGCAAATAAATTATTTAGTTTCTCTACTAGAACTTGGCACCGTTTCACTGATACGGGACGTGACACAGTTACAAGCACTACTCCAACAGAACACTGCTAAATATCTTTTTCCACATGCTTAGAGGCTTTATTGAATTACACCTCAATCATTTTAAGTAAAAGCTCAGTGGTGAAAGTCAAATCTTATACTGATACCTCATCTTCACCCACCTTCAAAACAGTAAGAGAATTTTTTTAAAGTTAGGTTGGCATTGGGCCTACATATTAAAGTAGAAACTTGTGATGTGTACAGACACTTCCTTCTGCTCAGTCGTGAGTCACCTTTTTTCACCTACTGAACTATAAGATGTCTGATGGTTCAGAACAACAGTCTTAACATTCAAAAGAAGTATTTTTCAACTTAGAAGCACATTCACATCATACCTCAAATGTTGTTCGAACAATCTGTCATTCATTAAGTCATCTCACAACTACGCATTGTATTTTTTCCATGTCTGTTCTTACATAGCTTCACTTTAGAAAATATTTGAAGTTTATTCTCCACTACCTCTTTGGAGACACGAGATACCTGCAACAAATACCACACATTAGCTTCATCATTGCAACTGCTCTTCAGCTTTGGCCAAATTAACCCCGGAGCCACATAAAGACTTTCGATATTAAATATTTCTTCCTCGTAAAGATAAGCAGTTAAACTTGCCTCTTCTCAGCACTTTACGTACATAATTTCTTCTGTACAATGGTGCATCACTCTTGTTGTAAGAGCCATCACTTACAGCCCCTACCCTTTTTCTTCCTGAAAAAGGATGTGCACCATGAACACCACGGAGTTCTCTGATTGATCATGCAACTCAGCACTTACTATAGCTTTCATCTCCACAGTGCCCTGTAAACAGGCATTAAACACAAGAACTGTGCATTCAGCCAGATAAGCAGTAATTATTATCCTCCACAGAGTTATAAAACTCTGCATTCTGCCAAGGAGAGCTCTGTACAGGACAGTGCTCCCCCTCCATCCTCAACCCAGCTCACAGTAAACCACCTCTTACACCATTGACCTTCACACTGCTGGGGTCTACATCTACTCATCTTTGCAGAAATCATTCCAGGTAAACAGAAGCGTTTTACGTTTTCCCTGAAGTAGGATGTGGTTTTGTATTTACACCCCCCTCTCCTTGCATTTAACTGCTATCAAGCAAATGGCTCTTTAGCTGTGAATATCAGTTCCCAGTGCACCTCATCATTTTAGGCAATAAATAATCCATTCCTGTCAAACTAATACATTTCTACCATAATACACTGTGCCTGAGATGGTGTTGCAAAGTACCTGTACTTACCTTCTCTCAAAAAGAAGTGTTTTATGGAAAGCAAAAAGACTCTTAGTAAATCTTTGTTAAAATAATTAAAAAAAAAAAGCAAAACCCTTGCATGATGGTAGATGTGCTGCAGCAAATAGCAGACAAAAAACATCACTGGCCAGAATTGCATTGAACATCCAAGGTTTCTTCTTGGTCTCATCATAAAGGACAGCTTTTGATTTACAAATTTAGTTCAGGATGACAATATTTTATTTCTACAGTTGTTTGCTGCAGGAAAACGCACATTGCAGATGCACAGATTTGCAAACCAGACATATGGTGCATATGCTTTTGGTTATTAATTACCTTGTAGTAATTAATGAAAATCCATCTCAAGCTGCTGACTTGCATTTCTCATTGTTAAGTGAGGTCAAAACTTCAGCAAATAGGGAGGTGACTTCTTCCCCAGACCAGCTGCCTCACTGCATGTGTGAAGTCCTACAGTCTTTGAAAAGCTATTACTGCTCCTAAGGTTTGGAAAGAAAAAACCTGTGAAGATCTGCTACTGCATAAACAGATGTACTTGAAGCCTGATAGTAAGCATCAAGAAATCTCAAGAAAGAGGTTCAATATGAGTTTAATTGCCATCTTGTTTGCACCCAGCTAGTGCAATACTTACACTGAACTCATTACCAGTCAGTATAAGGCAGAGTGATATGCTCCAAGTATGAAAAGCCCCTGAAAATGCAACTGCATTTCATGTGCAGCTCTTTCTTCCTCACCTGTTTGACAGTAGTCTTTTTCTATGATTTCCCCAAAAAGTTCTAACCCAAAACTTAAGCTTATCTTCTCCATGCTGTGTTCAGAAATCTCAACTTTCCTCCCAGACTCAGGACAGAATTCTTAGGAGCTGACAAAGAAAGCAATGAGAAAAATGTCAGGCAAGAGAAATAGCTATACCTTGCAGAAAAGAAAATGTTTATGAGAAAAAATAGATGAGTGTTCTAAGCACGAGCACCAGATTAGAAGTGACAGCAGCCAGTAAATGTGAAATAGAGAAATACAAAAATTGATAACACTCTGGAAACTTTAAAGGACAAAAGAGGAAGAAGGACAAAAGCAGCAACATTTAAAATATGATGTCTGGTAGAAAGGAAAAATCAATCACATTTCATACTTGGGGGCCTGGGAAGATGACACTGACAGATGCTACCGTATGAGATGAAAAAGGAATGATGGAAAAAAGCATACCAAAAAAATGCACCATGCTGAAATATGTGAAAAAAAGACAGATTCTTACTAAAAGGTTAAGTACAGTTTGGGAGCTGAAGACAGTAAAAAAAAAAACAGTTTCCTTTGGTGTCTGCATTCATATGTATTATTCTGCCCATCAAATCCTCCTGCACCCAAAGAGGAATAACCCCATGAAGCACTGCAAACATGGGCAAAAAGGTCGGAAACAACCTGGGAGGCCCTGATGGACAATTTGAATGAGTCTGCGAATTGCATTCTGAAATACCAGAAGTTCCACATGAAAATAAAAGCACACACTTTCACTATGATGGTGGTAAATGCTGTCACAAGCTGCCCAGAGAAAATGCAGAATCTCCATTCACAGATATGGCCAAAATCAAAAAAAAACTGAAATGGAAGTTTTCATTTACCCTAGGAATCTAATTCAAGTCAAGAAAATTAAAATATTTATTTTCATTTCATTAACAATAAATAGTTCATGATTCTAGGTGAGCAATGAGATTGCACGCAGATTGCACGCTAAACTTGCAAGGTCTGTCACTGCCAATGAGCACCCTCATCTCCTTACTAATACATGCCACAAACAGAGCTGGCCAAACAAGTCCTCTAGAGAAATGGCTTAATTTCTTGATTATATTTAACAAAGCCTTAATACCTTACAGGGAAACAAAAAAGCTAAATGGATTTAACAGAACAGCAAAGCTTTCATGAACATTACGAAGTGCAGCAGGAGTTGTAACATATCACCTTATATATTCATGTCTTCCCAGATTTTAATGCTAAAACCCTTGAACAGGTGAGCCACTCAGCCCCAAGCCAGCCTGTAGCATTGCACGCAGTTGTTGTGAGCAAAGAGCACGGCCCCACGCTTGGTCTCATTGACCAATTTCTCTCCCATTGACTTCAGGCCATCAGTCCAAGCTGTCTAGGTCTCCGTAGGGCCTCCCTACTCCTAGGCATATCAACACCTCTCTCCAATTTGCCATTGTCCATGAAGTTATTGAGAGGTCCGATCCCAATGGAAATTAAAGAACTTGAAGAAGTGATTTGCCTTCGTTTTGGAGTTTGAGCTCAGAAAGGCTATTCAGATGTTTCTCAGATTTTGTACCATAGAATTCACTTGGACCAAAAACAGGAATGAACCCATTACCAGGCTAAACCATTTTCTTGAGAGGCTGTGGGCAGAAGATAGTCATAGCAGTGAAAAGTTGGCCATCATTTGTGTAAAGTCCCTCCTGTTATGGGAGTACACCTCCCAGCTCATATCCATAAATCCTCCTTTGCTTCTGTCCTAAGCCTCACAAAAATTTCCTTAACAATAAAACATTTATATAATTTGACAGAAGTAAATCTTATTTTCCTATTTTATTTAGGAGCCTGAAGTTTTACACTAAATACCAATTCAGTCTAATAAAGATTTTACGTTACACCAATCCAAGTAATGAGAAGCTTTCCAGGAACATCCTATTCTCAGTCATTGCCATAAGCTCCACAGTATTCTAAAGTACTTAATTTCCATGGGTCATGCTATCTCAGGCATTTCATGTTATGTGATCTGTAGTTTCGTTCATTTCTTAGGATTATTTTTCTTGCTCAAGCAGCTTTTCTATGAAAACCCAATGTTTTTATCTCCTTTCTGAATTGGATTTATAATCTGGAATGTCAGAACCTTAATTTCTGTTCCTGAATACTCATCTTTCCAGATCAGAAACAGAACATGCTTTTATATCCTAATTGATCCCCAAAAAAATTTCTATTAGTTATGCTAAGTAGTAAATGCTTATAAGCTAATGGAATTGGGTGATTTAATTACAGAAGCATTTTCTATAATTATCTACATCTGTCCATCACGATATTAAGCATTACCACAGCTTGCATCATTATATCAAACACAAAGATCATTCACTTAAAGTATTGCGCTGGGAACTGAAGTTAATTTCAGCAACAGGACAACTACAATCTTTTGACTTTCCCCCACTGTCAGAGACAAGTGTGCTCCAAGGGGGGAAGAGATGGCTGCCCCACAGGCAGATCCAGGGGCACAACAAGGACCATGCTCATAACGTGCACCCAAGTTGCTGATGGACAGCAGAGAACTGGTTTTCTTCTTCAGGTTTTTCCCTGTAGTTTATCTTAATTTGTTTTATTCCAGCAGATACTTTTTGTCTTAGTGGGGAAATGGGTGTACCTCAGTTTCCCCTTGGATACAGCTGATAGTCAGTTCTACATTCCTTATGCCAAGCTTTTATATACATAAACAAACAGAAACACTGGAAGAATAACTCATGGAACATTACACAGATCTGTAAAGGTTGCAACTTAAGTGAGAGAACAAATTGGGGGGAAGTTGGACACCCCTCATTTTTGACAGAAAAAAAAGTAGCTCCAAATTGGGTGAAAGCATGGAACATATCCTATTTTAATTGCCTCCATGTGAAAAATCAAATCTTAATTCATTAAACTTTCATCTTCAAGTATAACAACCTATTCACATGCTCTTACGTTCACCCTTATATCTCAGTGCAGCACTTCTGAATGTCAGGAATGCGTCCAGTTTTAAGTAATTGGTTATGTTTAACATGATATTTAAAGTGCATTCAATTTCTATTCATTTCTCTATAGAAAAAAAAATATCTAATCATGTTCTGTTGTATGAAACAATTAAAAATTGCCAAGCGTTCAGATTCATTTTCCTCAGCTTCACTTACGTGAATATTTTACCTGCTGCCACAGGCACAGACAGACTCTGTTTCTGTGACTACACTAGAATTTATGTTATGCACGAGCGAGTAGAAAGTCTTTCTTAATCCATCTTTTTGATGCTCTGATTAAAATCTTGGCCATATATAACATGCTGACATTTAAGAAGTCAAGTATTTCCTTTAAATATTTAGTGATCAACAGAAGCATCATCATAGAACAGTTCTAAATCTATTGATGAAAAATGAAAATTTTGAAGTGAAAATGGGTAATGTGCTGTTTTATCAGACCCGTTTCCCAGCATATGAGTTTTTGGAGCCTTTAAGAAATAGATGCACCAAGGGCTCTGAATTTCTTCAAAACCAGTACAGCTTTCTGTTTACAAACACATAATTTCACTCATCTGTATTTCTCTTCAGAAAACAGATATAGCTGCCATGTCTTTTACACCATCTTTATAGAACAGGGACCCCAGCAAGAAAACTGGAGAAATATCTCACTAAACCTTTATGAAGAGTTATGAGAAAAGCTTCAGTTTCTGTTCCTAAAGAAGTCATTCACCTCCTTGAATGATGGATTTAACATTTGCCACAGGGTTTAGAGAAGATGACAATTTTACTCATTCAGTCATATGCATTAAACACTGACCTTTCTCAAGAGGGGAATCAGCCTGGCAGCGGGTTGTAGCCAGTGGCTGAGACCTCCCATGTTCACAGAGAGTGAATGGTACTAGGGATCCTTTGTATCCCCAGCATGCAACATCCCACAGAAGATTAATATACAGGAGATGCTACCAACTTACCTGCAAATAACAGATACTGACAGAATAAGAGCAAGGTCTGACTGAGGTTAAGTCTATACCAGACGACCTCTAAAAGTACCTTTCATCACAATTCTATACCAACAGATGTGTACAAGCGTATGTTTGAAGCCATGTGGATTCCACATTGGAACCAAATGTTCTTTCACAAGCAAAGCATGGACAGAAAAGTCTGTACCAATCCATATTAACATTCTGCCCATAGACCAAAAATGGGCATCATTTCTCAAAACTGATTTCAATCCCAACCAGATGTGCTCCCCAGTGATCACTCTGGTGGGTAACAGAATTGTACAGCTCAAGGAACTGCTTTCAGTACAGCCTAAACTCTCTGCAACAAGTTGATTTTTATGCATCTGGAATGCACTGAGCATAATTGTCAGCTAATTTTCCTAAGTGAAAAAAATGAATTTAACTTGCTGAAGCACAATAAAATGCCTTCAGCAAATAGCCTGTCTAAAGCCTATTCTGCCGTATCTGCAAAGCAGAAATATTTTGTTCAAATTACACCTTAAGTAATGATGATACATTTTCAGAAATATTTTTATAAATGTTAAGCCCAGGAAAAAAAATGGCTTTACATGCTTTTGAGCACTGCTTAATTAATCTTTCATTCCAGTGTAATCAGAGTTTATACAGATAAGCATCCCCTCTCAGAATTTGTAGTGCAGACCTTAATCTGACCTTGTTCCTTTCTTTACTCACACGAATGACTCCAAAGGCCATGAAACTGTGAACAGGATTATAATATAGTTTAAATCTGGTAAAAGTGATAGTAAGACTGTAGCACACAATCATTAAAATTATATGCAAATACTGCAAATAAACTTCATACCACATCAGTCATACAGCAAATTAAAAGCAGCAGCTGAAATTAAGGCTTAAACAAGGAATCAAAACACCTGCAGCTTTCCACTGCAAATGCACATTATATACTGACCCCAAATATGATTTAGAGAGAAAAGCAAACGAGTTAATTGATCCAATAGAGACATGACTCCATCATGCTAAGTAGTCAGGATAACATCCCAGCTAACAGCAGATCCACAAGAAAAATGTTCA